AGAATATACAATAATCATTTTCACGCTCTCATAAAAATGACTTCGGTCTCAAACTTGAAGAGGAAATTGCTTTTTAATGACACACTATTTTCCCCTTTTACCCACACGTTCACTTTGCCTATATTATTACAATATTATGATTACTGTGATTTCTATTGCTCACCTTCCTGATTTATGCACTTATTTTTTTCTCTCCCTGTTGGGTCTTTGTTATTTTTGTCATTTTGACACTTTTATGTTTCTATCCTGGAGTGGGAGGATTTAACTAAGCCTCATGGGGTTCTCAACTAGAGATGGGATTTCATATCCTCGCCTTCCTTGTTTCATTTTTTTTTGTCCTTTGCAAAATTTGTTTAATGTCTTCTAAAAAATAATGAGTCTTATTTCTTTAAAAAAAAACATTATATCAATGTCTCATGTGACAGTGTAGAATTTGGTGCATTATTGGGGTTATTTAAAAGACAGTATATGAATAAACTGACAAATGACTTGTAAAGCCTCTCAGACTACCACTGATAAAAAGCTTTTTTTTAATGTTTTTTTTTATGTTGGAAAATTGATCAAACCTTCACTTGAAATCCAAACGGAGCATTTCAAGTCTCTATGCCTGATGTCATGAACACTAACATCTTTATTCTAATGCTTTCTCTTACTCAACTGATGCAAACATGATCAGGCAGCTTGTTAAGATATTGTGACGCAGGTCTCATTCCACGGTGCACACCGAAACGCCTGAGCCAACAGGAAGGGGTGCACAAATACATTTCCCACCATGGCACAGCTTCAAAAGTCACAAAGCTCACACAGTTTTTGTAGGTGGGAGTATTTGGATGCGGTCCAAAACCACACTTTTGCTTCCTGAAGATGAAAATGCAGTTTGCCTCTCACTAATGATCTCTCTGACTTTCATTAATGACCTACAGTGTCAGGTAGAAAAATAGTTCAGGCACCTTTTTCATTTTCAGCCTCCATATAATCCATTTTCTCAGAGGGGCAATCTGTGCCACAAATCGTTTGGTGCAGTGTGTTTTCTCTTTTCATGTTGCAGAGACCTTTGGACAATTACTTTTGCTTCGAATAACTAGTTGTTGATCACATCATGATACATCTACTATGTATTAATGTTTACAAACCATATTCCCATGAATTTATAAGCAATTTGCACATAAGCCTTAATTTTTCCAAGTGCATTTCAATGTGTGTAGAATTTTAAGGAATATATAGGCTGAAATGGAATATTATTCATAACTTTATCACCTGAAACTAAGAATCATTGTGTTTTTGTTACCTTAGAGTGAGCTATTTATGGTATGTCAACATACAGAACGGGTCCTCTTCCAGGGAGTCCATCATGTTGTGCTACAGTATAGCCCAGAATAGACAAACTAAACACTAGCTCTAGATGGGACCATTTGCCTTTCTGTGTTTTTTGCATTGCCCACTGTTGTTCTACATGCTTGGAGACCCGGCTTCATTCCGAAGTTGTCGAAATCTGGCACTTGGGTAGTGACTTGTGGCATCAGAAACCAACAAAAAAAAGGCATCCTTTAACATCGGCATGATACACGGCCGGTTGCCGTTATATTTAAACAGGGCTTGGCGGCATCAGGGGGGAAACGTGGTGGGACAAGGACAAAAGTTAAGGTGGTGAAAGTTTGACTGGGGTGGGTGGAAGGGGTGGTGGATGAGTCTAAAGGCCAAACCCTCTTCTTTTTTCCTAAACCTAACTATGTGTGTTTGTTGTTGAAGGGTAAAAAACGTCAATTTGCGGTGTTGTACCAACGTAGTGTGTTTATTTTGAAAGAGACTGTATGTAAACGGTAAATTTCCTGTGAAAATGGAAGTGTATTTTGAAAGAAGACAATGCATATAGGCCGAACTTGACACGGTGTCCCAGAACATCAACAACCAACACACCAAAGGTACCTTTTACATCATATGTGGACTTGGAAAGTCCATGACCAAACATCGATATGTGACAAGGTTGGAATGAGAATGTTTTGGCTTGGCACACTAGAGAAGTTTTGGTTGGTTGCAGTCTGCAACTTAACCACTAGATGCCACTAAACCTTACACACTAGACCTTTAACCCCCTGCTGATCCCAAACAGCAGTTTAGCTCAAATTCAGTGGCAGTTGCCCAGTGTGTTCAAACTGAAAGGGACTGAACAGGAAGTAAATTTTAGGAGCAGTGAGACTGCAGGTGAAGTTAATGCAGACAGGGGAGTTGATTGAAATTTATCCTAGACTCCAACTGACAGTTGTGTTTAAAAAAATGTGTATTATTCCAATTTACAACCAGAATTATTGAAGTAAAAGCTGCAGACTTTTGGTCACATGGGGGCAGGAACACTCCACAACAAGCTGAAAGAGACAGAAAGAGAAACAGAGTTGCTGAGCTGTTCCATGAGGCTGACTCACAAGCGGCTGAGCTGTCACACAAGCACACCACAGCACAAACACTCTGCACACACATGCTTATACAGTTGTCACACTGATTGTTTGGGGCAAATAAATGTGGACTTCAAAGACGCCCCACATCACACAAATAATACAAGGCAAGAAATTGCTCAGTGTGCAATCTGAACGTGCCTTGAAAAGCACTGGGCAAGCAAAGCAGTGGGTGTGCATCATTCTGCCATACTGATGTTCTGCTTGTTACACTGCTGCAAAGGTGGGGAAGCCTGCTGATGAGACAGCAGGTATAAGACTGAATTTCTGTCAGCTGATAATCACATAACAACAGGTAGTGGAGATGCTGTGGTAAACCTTAAAAGACCAGCGTGTAGCATTTAGGGGCACTGACAGAAATGGTATATAATATTTATGACTATGTTTTCATTGAATTATAATCACCTGAAAATAAGGATTGTTGTGTTTTTGTTTCCTTAAAATGAGCAGTTTATTTCTACATATGAAGTGGGTCCTCTCCCATGAAGTCTGCCATGTTGTTCTACAGTAGCCTAGAAAGGACAAACCAAACACTGGCTTGAGATAGGGTCGTTCATGTTCCTGCATTGGTCACCCTGTTCTTCTACACCCCTTGCACATGGGAGAAGTTTCAGTTCTGCACCCCACCAAGATACTACTAAATCCTTAATCAATCTTTACACAGCTTTGAAGGGTTGGCAGAGACGATACAGCATTGTTCCCATTTGGATTCAGCCACTAATCGCCTTGTGAAATATGTATTTGTTAGTCTGTGTTATTCTGTGATGCTGTTGGTACATGTGGTATTTTGTTGATTTGTCAGTCACAAGCTGCACGAGCTGTTTTGTGTGCCAAACTAAAATGGAGTACAAGCCATGCCAAACTGACAGTAGCACTATAGTGGTCAAATTTTGCAACACTCTCAGTTGTACAATTTGAAAATAATTCCACTTTTTTTGTTTTTGTTTTTAAAAAGAAGGGCATTTTGAAAATATAACCCTCCATCATGAATAAATGACAAAGACATTTATGTTTCTGTTTATTTATTTATTTATTTTTCAAATGTCAAATGTGCTTATCACAAACTGTAGCCCATTATGCAATGACGGGTCATTAGGGAGCATTTGGCACTTATGAGGGGTGATGCAAAAAGGGGGAGGCATGTCAAATAATTGTTTAAGCCCTTATTAGGGACTTATGTTTTTTATTTTGGCTCAGGGGAGGAGCATACACATTTAAATTGTTGTATTTTGATTTTAAAAGAAAACATGCCAGTACACCTGTAAAAACAGAAACTTTCTTTGGATTTTCAAATTTCCGACAGCCTTTGGACACATCATGTGCTACGACCTTCTAAAAACATAATCAAATCTAAGCTTATAATAGTGTGGCTGTGGCTCAGAATTGCATGGGTTCGTCCACCAATCAGAAGATCGGTAGTTAGATCCCCGGCTCCTCCAGTCTGCATGTCGAAGTAGCAAGATATTGAACCCCAAATTGCTCCCGATTGCTGTTCCATCGGTGTGTGAGTGTGTTAAACAAAGTTGGTGGCAGGTGGCACCTTGTATGGTAGCCTCGGCCACCAGTGTATGAATGTGTGTGTGAATGGGTGAATGTCACCCATAGTGTAAAAAGTGCTTTGAGTAGTCGGATGACTAGAAAGGCGCTATGCAAATGCAGGTCCATTTAACATTTAATAAATTCATCAAAGACACCTTAATCTACATTTAAAATTTTGACAAAAATAAACCGTTTGTACTTAGGCTACTAACATGCATGCACAACAAGAATGAAGAACTGAGACTTTTTTTTCATCTAAGGGTAAGTTTTTAATATCTAATAACTAATTTATGTTCGGGGAGGGTCAAAAAAAAAAAAAAAAAACAACCCCCAGCCACTCCCCTCCTCTGATTAGTAAAGAACAGTCCCTAAATCCCCCTAAATCTTACACACCGTTCCTTTAAATAATAATAATTTTCATTATGGATTAATCTGCTGATCATTTTCTCCATTTGGTGTAAACATTCTGAAAAGAAAAACGATTTGCATATACGTTGGGGTAGTTAACAAAAACATCATGTATGCGTTTTTTGTGCAAAAATCTTAATTTGTAAAGTAACTCGTATCTCAAATTTGTTCTCAAGTACAGTAGCCCACCTGAGTAAATGTACTTAATCACATTACACCACTGTTGAACAGACAGGTCATTTTATATGTAAATTATGGGATGATTTGCAAGTTATACCTATTAATGATTTTTTTGTATACATAAAACAGCATGGTAGTCAACTAGCCTATGTTTATGACAAACTACACTAATATGCAATGACAGGTTATTAATCAAGATCATAATTGGGACAGTTATATCAGAAATATTAATTATGAATTGATTAGATAACGCTGATGTGATATAATTGCGAGCATTGTCAGCATTAGGCAGATTACATGAGCTCCTCTCCTGCTGGGAGAGGCTGGCTGTGATGTCAAACTGCCACCCAGAGTGTGTGCCTGTGTGCGCGCGAGCGGGCGGGCGTGTGTGTGAGTGTGTCGACGGCGGATTCCCATCACAAACCAAGATGGCGGCGGAGCGGACAGCCGGCTCGGCACTGTGACTGACAGACAGACAGACAGACAGACAGACAGAAGCCTCGCTTGGTCGGACAGCTAACGGTCAGACTCCAGACAGAGAGACAGAAACACCCGCACAGGTCACTTCGCCTCTTTCGGTACCGACAGCGCTGTGATGAAGCAGCACCGATAGACGACACCGGGGGAAGTTGTGTGCGTGTGTGAGTGCGCGAGGACTAATTTGACGTCCACAAGCGGGGTAAGTACAAGATGATGAACCGTTATAGTGGCTGCTGAGGGATTTACCGAGCAGTTGCTAGCTAGAAATCCCTCATGCTAGCTGTGTCAGCTCACTTGTGTTGTGTGTTAGTTTACGTGAGTTTAATGTGTAACGGTAACTAACTGTCGCTAATGACAATTTTGCCCTCAATGCGTTTGACCCGATGCCTCCCGTGCTGTAACCGCACCGGTTCATTCCCCAAGCAAAGTACTGTATGTGCCACAGGTTGTTCGCATTTCAATTTCCAGTGTAGTCACCTGTGCTGCCTGTAAACGACACACTAGTCACACCACATTAAAGCTGTGATCACCCAGTGATAGATGTCTGTTATACCCGCTGTCGTGCCACCTTTAGGAACTAAAAATTTCCCAAAACACTAGCTAACCCTCTACATGTGTAAACCCTCCCTGCCTGGGGATATTTAAAGGTTGCTTACTTTTTGTCTCAGAAAATGCCTCTTGCTTTACCTTGCTATTAAGGCAGTGGCACAAAATGTGCTGGAAGAGTCGTGATTTTATATCTTGTTTTGTGCATCATTTCAAATAGAGTCAGATTCATAACAAATTTGCCTAAAGGGGCTTTGCAATCTGTGCAGCATGCAGCATACAATCAGATAAGGAAAAACTCTCCCTAAAAATGATGAAGAGCAACTGAGAAGGAATTCCTCTGTCTTGACTGACAGCTATGCAATAGATGTGTGTGCAGAATTTTTATTTATTTAACCAGGAATTCCCATTGAGATTGAAAATGTCTTTTTAAAGAGAGACCTGGCCAAGGTAGCAGCCAACCAGAACACATTTAAAATGCAGCAAATACAACATGCAATACAAAAATCCACAATAAAACAATCTCTGTCACATTCTTTATGATGCCCTGAAATTCATTGATAGATATAAGTGTTTCTAATTTTATATCTTTTTGAAGATTATTGTCCAAGGTGCAGGCAGTGTAGGAAAATGCAGTTGTCCCCAGATGTGTTAAAACCTAGGGTACATTAGAAAGCAACCACCTGGGGGAGCGTAGCTGGTAAGAGGTGACATACAGAAGGGTGCAGAGGTAGTTTGTCCAATATTGATTTATAGATAAAACTATACCAGTGCTGTTGTCTGCAAATGGTCGATGTCCAACCCCCAAATCATAAAGAATGCTGTGATGAGTAAGTGAATACCCATCATAATAAAATTACAATACAGACAATCAAGATGACACAATTTATAGATAGATTGTTAATATATATGAAGAAGACCAGACTATAAGGCTGCAGGTGGTTTTGATAGGTATGCTCTCAAAGCTGTCACTGCTGGTGCAAAGCAAGAGGCAGAGAGTTCATCACCAGGGAGATGGGTGGTGAGTGTATGCTAATGAAGCCTTGCAGATATGGCTAATAAGTTTGGGGGCTGTGTTCCCTGATATTGTGGCGCATCACTGCAAAAATGTCTGTCAAAGAAATACGAGCAAACTGAGCTGCAGAAGATTACAATTTGTTGCTTCAATTTTTCCCCCTTTAAAGTTTTTTTTAGGGGCATTTTTATTTAATTGAATCAGGGGTTTAGAAGTCTGCTGTGCAGGATTTAGGAGGATATATTAGCAGGAAATGTAATGCAATATAGTAGTATTTTTTCTTTAGTGTATAATCACCTGAAAATAAGAACGGTTATGTTTTCATTACCTTAGAATGAGCTGTTTATATCTGCATAGGGAGCAGGTCCTCATCCATGGAGATCGCCATGTTGCACTGCCACTTTTCCACAGAATAGACAAACCAAACACTGACTTTTGATAGGGTCATTCACGTTTTCGTATTGGCCACCGTAGTAAGCAGCCCCTTCACATTGAGCAGTGCTGGAAAAACACTATTTTTTTTATGTGAAACTGCTTCATTCAAGGTTTTCACTGTTTCAAATCATGGTGTCCATTTGTTTTAGAGAGATAGAGACCCTTTGCTGATAATTTGGCTCCCGGTAAAACATCCTGAACGTCTATGATCTTAAGTTATCAGAAAAAAAGAAGATAAGATTAGAACATTAGCAGCTGCTGGATAAGCGATCCATTTCTGTCAGTGGAAAAAACACAGATTTTTTTAATGAGAAACTACCTTATTCAGTGTTTTCACTGGTTTAAATCACCGTGTCTGTTTGTTTTAGAGAGGTAGAGACCCTTTGCTGATAATTTGGCTTCTGGTAAAAACGTCCTGAACATCTGGATTTAAAGTGTTTAAAAGGGTTAAAAGAGTTAGCACACATAAGAAGCTGCTGGATAAAGCCCATCTTTGATGAACCAAACAACACGGGGAAAAAATGTTTTTACTGGTTTAAATCATCAAGTCTGTTTGTTTGGGAGAAGAAGAGACCTCTGTGGATAATTTGGCTCCCAGTAAAAACCTCCTAAACATAAAAACTGACAGAAATCTAACAGGGAGAAGTTTCAGCTGGTTGCAATCTGCAGTCCTCATAGCAAGTTGCCATTTAATCCCCTAAATCTTAAACACTAGACCTTTCAGGACAGACTGTGTCATATACTGTACAAATGGGTGACATTGGGCTATATAAATAAAACTGACTAGATTTGTTGCACACTGGGAGTCCAGCTTGGAGTACATCCACTGCTCCTTTCTGATATTAGACATCAAACAGGAGCAGTGACGACAGCTGCCACCCAGGCTTCACATTCTGATGGGTTACTTTCCCCAAAACTTCCCCTTGTATCGTTCAGTGGTGTCAAACAGGATGAGCCTAGCAAGTCTGGTCAAATCATGCATGTGACAAAAATACTCTCAAGCCTGTCATTTGAAAACCTCAGCCTCACATACCAGAAAGGTAACCTACACTGTAACCCTGTAAATCCTCTGCTTGTCTGGCTTATTGCTGCTCTTCATTCAAGTGTTAAGCTCTCCACGTATCATGGAATTTCTCCTGGCCAGATCTTTTTGTTGTGCACGTGATGGACGGGTTGTTTGTCTTCTGTCTTATTGCCGTGTCTGCTCATGTTTGGAGGGCAGAAGGGGCGCTGTAGTGGAATGGCAGAGAGGAAAAAGAGTCATACTTTGAAATGAAACATGGCACCACAACAGCCAAATGGCATGGACTGCGTAGGTTGCTTGACTTGACTTGGCTGTCTAGTCTTGTGTAGGTCCATCCAAGTAAAGGATTTATGGCAGTGAGTAAAAGCTCAAAGGAGCAGACAGCTAGAAATGTCTGCTTAGCTGATTGAAGACTTCAGGCACACTCAGTAACCCTGGCTCCTCTTATCCTCACAGCAGCCTCAGGGTTAATGCCTGCTGTCCACTGATACCTAACACCGAATGTCCCTTGCTGTGGCAGCGACGGTGTTAATACCTAAAGGCACAGGGTGCATGTTTTTCCCATCTTGCGTAATTCAGTGAACACAAATAAAGTGGGCAAATAAGAGACACATGTCATGGAGCTGTCAATTGCAGAATGTGGGTGCTTACCCCACTCATGCTGGGTGCATATTCATGTATTTCACTGTAGTATTCACTTGAACTTGTCTGCCTGGAGGCTGTATCAACACTGTTTCTTTGGCAGCCAGTAGAAGTCTGATGTTGTAGCCTGCTGTTAAAGGTTTGTTTAATTTTCAAGTGTTTCTGCCGTTTTGCAGCAGAAACTATGTGTAAGAACTCAAGCACCTATTTGTGTTTGGTTTTATGTTGATTTTAATGCTATAGACCAATTTTGAGTGGATGTCACAGCAGTTGCATGCGCATACTGGTGGCAGAAAAACAGTGGACATGGGGGAGAAACGGTTGACATACCTGATGTAAAAATGTCTTCTTGTGCTGTTGGATGAACAGGAATGCAGATTAAGATAACCTTGTTTTTTTTTTTTATAGAAAACCATCACAAAGGACGCTGTTGTAGAAAGTAAAGTTTTGTCTCCAGTTAATTATAACCTTGATATTCAGGATATAATCACTGCTGGATACTCTTGTAGAGGAGTTTGGCTTACATGAAAGATAATTCATCATCATCATAAGGAATCGTAAAAACTCACATTTGTTAAGCATGGATTTGGCTTATTGTCCTTAGTTAAAACTTAAGTTAATAATATCAAGAGGGTTCCTGGTTCAAGCCCAGGGTGGGGGAGCCCTGCTGTGCGGAGTTTGCATGTTCTCCCCGTGTCAGTGTGGGTTTTCTCCGGGTACTCCAGCTATCTCCCACAGTCCAAAGACATGCAGGTTAATTGGTGACTCTAAATTGTCCATAGGTGTGAATGTGAGTGTGAATGGTTGTCTGTCTCGATGTGTCAGCCCTGTGATAGTCTGGTGACCTGTCCAGGGTGTACCCCGCCTCTCGCCCAATGACAGCTGGGATAGGCTCCAGCCCCCCCCGCGACCCTCAAGAGGATAAGCGATCACGGAAAATGAATTAATCAATGAAGAAGTTAATATACTTTGTTAACACCTTTATCATAACAAAGTATATTAACAAAGTTAATATACTTTGTTATGATAAAGGTGTTAACATTGTTAGCTAGCTAGGGCGCTAGCATGGTTTGTACTTCTACAATGAATTATATTATATGGGCACGTCTCCACAATTATTAATGAAGGACAATATGCCAAATCCATGCTTGACAAATGTGAGTTTTTACAATTCTTATGATGATTTATCTTTCACCACATATATGTAATTATGACACGATTACTGTCCCTTTTTGCCATCAGTTCAGCTCCACCCACAAACACGAAAAGGGTCTATACTGCTACTATTCTGTCTTCAAGTGCCAGAATACAGCTCCATAGGTATACAGTGGTGGAAAAAAGTTTTCGGACACCCCATGCATTTGTGAAATATTGCATTAAGAATCACTCTTAGGTCTTCAAGTGCAATTTCTTTTAGTACAGTCACAGCCAAAATACTAAATAAATCCTAAAAAAGCCATTAAAAACTTAAAATTGATTGGTTCCATAAAAATACATAAGAAATTTTGAGTATTGGGTCATTTTGGTACCAGTGATG